TGTCGCCCGCCCTGGGCTCCGCAGCCTGTGGGCGCTGCTGTGAGGAACGGCGGCTTGGCAACTCCAGGACCCGCTCGAGGCCTTGCTGCCAGTGTGAGATGGCAGATGGGGGCACCACAGGCCTGGCCGTGTGCCCAGCCATGTCAGCTGGGGGACGTCTGGCTCCTCAGATAGGGCACTGGGTGGAGCTGGCCCTCCCCCTCCTGGGGACCCTGTCCTCCCCGCCTGTCAGGAGGAGGCCTGGTGCCCCCAGGGCGCTGGGTGGCTGCAGAAGGGTCCAGGGTTGGGGTCTGACCAGACAGGCCGCCCAAGACTGCCACTGCCCATGGCGGGCACAGCCCCCGAGCCCTTTGTCCCCGCCCCGTCGGTGGCCAGTGTGCGCGGGGTGCTGTCCTCGCCCTTCTCCCAGCAGAGCCGGGGTCCCGGCAGTGCCCCCACCCTGGCTGCGGGTTGGGGAGCCCCGGGTGTTCCCAGGACGGCCCTGCGCAGGGCTCCGGGGAGGCGGGGTGACCCGGGACTGGTCCCTGTCCTTGCTGCCTGGCCTAAGCATCCCCTGCATGGCGCCCCCCAGGGACCCGGAGGACAGGGAGGTCCCCACAGGCCTGGCGATCCCCACAGGGCCAGGCGGCAGAGGCATGGAGCTCTTTTTGTGGAGCTGTGGGTGAAACCCAGGGCCTTCACACTGAGCCGGATCGCCAACCCTTGTTTTGTTTTTGTTTTTTAGTTAGAAAAATATTTATTAAACACTTTAATAAATTTTGTGCACACAGGTTTTTGAAAAGGTAGACTTTTGCAAGGAACGTTTATAAGTTCTTTTATGCCATCTTTTAAACTGTCATCTTTTTCCAAGCACTGTGGGCTTACGGCTCTTATTGAAACCACAGGTGTTTACTGACTTGCTACCGTCAGGCACCTCAAAGGTAAGGAGAAAAGGAACTTTCAAGACAGACGTATATCAGGCAAAATGCCAAAAAATTCAAAATAAAGTCAGTTTTATAACTTGATTTTCTAATTTGTTCTTGCATTGATTTATTTTTTATATTCTCAAAAGGTCATCAATATGTATTCTAAATATCTGTGGAGCTGTTTCTTTTAATGCTTCAATTGTCACAGCTGGTACCTTTTTTCTTGAGGCACATTCAAGTACTGTTTAAAAAAATTATTGTTTATTTTGAGACACAGTCCCCATAAATCGTTAAATTGCCCAGGCTGGACATGACCTCTTGATCCTCCTGCCTCAGCCTCCCAGAGTGCTGAGATCAGCACTCAGTTCGATAGGAAACGGGTGAAGAGAGAGCGTGGACAGATGGTGCCCAGGACCGGCCAGCAGCTGGAGACAGGGGCAGTGTGGCAGGCGGGGAGCTGGAACAGGGCCCCGGGAGGCTGAGGCAGGACAACTGCCCACACTCCCCCGCCCCCGTGACGTGACTGTGCTGGCACAAAGCTCCCTGGTGGTGATGTGGCACCGCAGCTGCCACCAGCTTGTGCTGGCCGTGGCCCGGCCTGGACACGGTCCCCGCCCCTTCCAGGGAGCTGTGTGATTGGGGAATTCCTGCCGCTCGATGCCCCCTCCCTCCAAGGTGGCGGGGGGGGGGGGAGCATGCATGCCCAGCACGGCCTGTGCCCCACCCAGGGAAGCCAAGGGCCACAGGCTGCTGTTCCTGTGGCCAGTTCCAGCCCAGCCTCGCCCCCGACATCCCTGGGGACCGAGAGGAGGGTGCTGCCTCAGGGCGGCTGCCTGCTGGTCAGCACCCTGCAGCCCCGAGTCCCCGCCTGCCTGTCCCCTGGGAGCCATGCAACAGTCCCAGGGACACAGGCTGGACACTGGGCCAGGGACTGGAGAGGTGTGCCAAGAGTGGAGAAACTGGGTAGGGGGCACACGCCTGTCACCCTGGCTCTCTGGGAGGCTGAGGCAGGAGGATCATGAGTTCAAGTCCAGCCTGGAAAACTTAGTGGCTTAATGAGAACCTGCCTCAAAATTTAAAAAAATTTAAAAATGAAAAATGGCTGGGATGCAGCTCGGGAAGAAGGCCCTGGGCTCAATCCCCAGTGTCACACATGCATGTGTGCACACGTTTACCACCTCAGGTCAGTACTGGGAAGTCAGAGTCTTTCCCACATGGGAGCCGCGGTCTAGGCTCGGGTCCAGGTTCCAGGCTCCAGGTCTCACCCATCCCCTCCTTGCAGACCTCACCCGAGGGTGGTGCTGCCCCTGTGTGTTTGATGTAAGCTGAGGTTCCTAGTGGCCAAGGTAAAAAGGGAAACTTGATGACTCAGCTCTCCCTGAGAGAAGCGCTGTGCATTGCTGGGTGCTTGACTCCAGTGCGACTTTGTCTCACAGGTTCCCAGGGACGACACAGCCGCCGAAGCATAGGAGGCCCCTGGAAATCCGAGGTCCCCGCACAAAACTCCCTGGGTCAGGCCCCACAGGCCACGGTGACTCGGTCCTGGAGAACTGGAGATGCAGGAGCGGCCAGGCCGAGGAGGGAGTGGAGGAGCCACGGGGACGGTGCCCGGCTCAGCGGTCTGAACCTGACAGGCCCCTCTGCCTAAGCTGCGTGGGAGCTCACCGGAACCTCGTGCCCTGGGCAACATGAGGCTGGAATCCTCCTCCAAATCATTAGTATGGCCCTCAGGAAGCTGAGGCAGGAAGATCTAGAGTGCGAGGCCAGCCTGGACTATGGAGTGACGCCCTGTCTCAAAAAACCAACACTGGCAGCAAACTTAGAGCAGGAAATCATCATCGATTCTTGGGGGAAACCCAGAGCCTGACTTTCTTTCTCTTTAAGAGGCTCTTGCTCGCTGGCCTGGCCTAGATGCCCTTGAACTCCTGGGCTCCAGCAATCCTCCTGCCTCAGCTTCCTGAGTAGTTGGGACTGCCCACATGAGCCATCGCCACGGTAGGGCCCACCTTTCCCAGGCTCTGCCTAGGCCCCTGCGTCCTGGTGGCAAGAGATGATAACAAACAAAGGACAGACCTGAGCCCTCGGCCGTGACCGGGTCCTGGCTACAGTGCCCATGTTCGTGCCCCGTGCTCCTCTTCCTCCTGTCAGGGCGCTCTGGACACCATCCCTGAGGGAAGGCCACAATGCCCGGGCCCTCTTGGACACACACCCAGTCCTGACCAGTGGGGAGGCCTTGAGCCCCCACCCTCTGTCCTTCCTGCCGGCTGAGACTGGCAGGGGATGGCTGGGGCTCACGCAGCCACAATGGGCCACAAGGAGAGGCCACTTGCTGAAGATACCTGAGGTGGAAGGGGCGTCGTCCTGAGGCTCCAGCCCCAGCTTGCAAAGCAGGGAGCAATAAACCGCCTCGCTCCGGCTACCGAGTCTGCCTTTTCTCCCACACAGCCGTCCCGACTGACCGTGACAGAGGGCGGAGTGGCTGAGGGCTCGTCCCGCAGGGTGGCTGAGGAGGACCCGCTCCAGGTGACCCTGCATAGGTGCCTGGATGGTGCCAGGCATCCAGGGAGGGCAGGGAGCTGAGGGGACAGGCCAGGCCAGGCTGGGGCGGTCAGAAGGGCTGGGCCCTGGCACGCTCTGGAGAGGTGGCCGGCAGGAGCTGGGCAGAGTCGGACGCAGGTGCTGAGCCTTGAAGGTCAGAGCCAGTGCCACAGGCTGGGGACGGCGGAGGCCGGGGGCGCAGGCGCAGGCTTAGGACAGGAGCGTGTGGCCGGAGCCCACAGCCGCCCTGCCGGCCGCGGGGCCTGTGTCCCCTCCTCCGCCATGCACCAGCCGGCAGGGAACCCTCAGGGCCCAGACCCTCCCTCGGAGTCCCTGAGGCCCACTGAGGCTGGGAGCCCAGGGCACGCCAGGGTCCAGGGACGAGGCCACCGCCCTCCCTCGCTGGGGTCCGTGCTGCTGCTGCCCCCCAGCGAGGCCGTCGCGGCTCAGGTGGGCACACGGACACCACAGCCTTCAGACTCCTCGTCCTCTGCCCCCTGCACACCCCGTCACCCCGCCACCCCGTTGCCATCCTCCATGGCCGCTCCATGCTGTCCCTGTCTGGTGCAAGGAGCTCCTGAGGGTGGGTGTGGGGTCCCCTCCCTCACTGTCCCCAGACAGGAGAGAGCCGGGAAGCAGAGGTGGCCACTCGGCTCACACCCTGGGCCCACGGCCGGGCCACGGTTCCGCGAAGGCTGCAAGTCCAGCTCTGGGAACGTTTCCCTCAGCGCCACCCCAGGGCTCCGGGCGCCCAGCCCTGGGGACACAGAGCTACATCCTCCTGGGGAATGTCACAGGGTGCCAGGGCCGGTCTGGCCAGACCCATCCTCCCTGCCCGGCTCCCGGCTCCCGGCTCCAGCCACCGGTGCCACGCCAACGCTGCAGCCGCTGCAGCCGGTGCCCCCGGTGCAGGGTCCTTGCCCCAGGCGGGCTCTGCCTTCCCTGCGGGGCTCGGGCACTCGAGCCAGTGGGTGACAGCAGCCCCCAGGCCTGGAAGAGCAGATTCCGGGCAGGCCGTCCTGCGTGGCCACAGCCCCAGGTGACACCGTGACGGAGCCCGCGGGAGGCACGGCCCACAACGGCCATCAAAGCCCCTTCTGCCTGGCGGCGCCAGCCCTGGCCAGAGGGTAGGAGTGAAGCAGCGGGTGCCGCGGGCAGGTCCCACCCTCTGCCCCACGTCCTCGTCCTTGTGGGGAAGGGGCAAGGACACAGAAACAAGGCCACCTTTGTGGCTAGGGCTCAGGCCACGGGGCGCTGGGCACTGTCACCCAGCTCTGTGTTCCAGCCGGTCCTGCGGGACCTGGACCCCTGCCGTCGAGGGCCTGCACGGAGGGGCCTGTGACCTGGGTTCCAGTCACCACCTTTGGACTCTCGGCCAGGGCATCAGGGGCCAAGTTCAGCTGCCCAGTCCCAGGTGCGCAGCCCCCGTCGGAGGACGCCCAGGTCCTGGCCAGAGTCCCTTGCCTGGCTCCACCTCTACCTTCGGCCCCTCCTCCTCCAGGGACAGGGGCGCTGCCACCAGGAGCCCGGGCCGGTCCCACGGGGGCGTGGGAGGCACGGCAGGGCGGGAATGCGGCCCTTCTGTCCCCGGGGCTGGGCTGGGCGCCTACAGAGGACCCAGTGTGCCCGGACATTGGGGCTTTGTGCACGCGTGTGGGGCCGGTGTCTGCGTGGACCTGGCCTTGTTTCGGGGTGACGAGGCCCGGCACTTCAGAGCCCAGGGCCAGCTCTGGAGCCAGCGGGGTCCCAGCAGCAGCGAGGAGCAGGTGCCAGGGGACAGGGGCCAGCGTGGGTGGCACTGCGGGAAGACAGAGGGTGCCGGGCCGTCCCCGTGGGGCTGAGCAGGGGTGCAAGGCAGACAGCGCCCCGAGACCCCGTGGTGCCCCAGAGGGTGGGCCCACACACACCGTCCAGATGTGGCCAGGAGATAACGCTACCTCTCGGGCCAGGCGGGCAGGGCGGGAGTCGGGGCGGGGAGCGCCCGGGCCTGCGCTGGGCGGGTGGCGGTCAGAGCAGCTTCGAGCGCGGCTGGCGGCAGACCCAGCAGTGCGGGACCTGGCCAAGGGACCCCGAGGCTCCGAGCAGGTGGGCTGGGCACACAGGTGCAGGTGGGCGGGACAGGTGGGTGCAGGGAGCCCACTGTCTTTCGGGGGAGAGTGGGGTGCCCACAGCCATGCCCGGGCTGGGTCTCCCCGCTCCCACAGACTCTGTCTCACTCGCCCTCGACATGCGGGGGTCCCGGGCCAGCCCCCGTCCCCTGAGGAGGCCTGATTTCGGCCAGCAGCACCACTTCCCATCTGGGACCTTGCGGGGCTGGTGCTTTCCCCAGCCCGGGGGTCTGGAGCAACAGGAGCCCCTGAGGACAGGGAAGGGCACAGCTCAGGGTAACTCCTGGGGAGCGAAGGAAATCAGGGACGGGGTGACCGCCCGCCCGCAGCCAGAGTGGCAGAGCTAGTGACAGCAGGCAGGGCCACGCTGGGTGGCAGACACATTGCCAAACGCTTTACACAAACACGCTCGATGTGCCCCACGGGCATGAGGTAGGAGTCCTCGGCATTCCCAGGTTACAGAGGAGAAATGGAGGTTCTTGCCCAAGCACGTAGAGTTAGTAAACAGAGGGTCTAAGCCAGGTGTAGTGGCGCACACCTCTCATCCCAGCACTTTGGGAGGCTGAGGCAGGAGAGTCACAAATTCAAGCCCAGCCTGGGTAACCTCATGACTTAGTGAGACCTTGTCTCAGAATAAAAATAGAAAGCAAGGGCTGGGGATGGAGCTCAGTGCAAAGGTCCTGGGTTTAATCCCCGGTGCTGCAAAAGCGAAGGCAGGGCTGGGGTCTGAGCCTGCAGCCTGACCGCGGTTTCACTCTCAGCTAAGGGGAAACCCGCTAACGCCCCTTTCCCGCTCCCTGCTGTGGCCAGAGTCGGGGCTGCAGTCTGTTTAGCTGGGGGCAGGGTTTAGGGTTACGGTTTATGGTGAGGACCAGGGTTAGGGTTGGGTTAGGGTTTAGGGTTTAGCATTTATGGCTACGGTTATGCTTAGGGTTTGGAGGTTAGAACGCATGGCCGGGGCTGCAGTTATGGTGAGAGTTTAGACTTCAGGGTTCCTGGCTAAGAGTTAGGGTTAGGGTTTAGGGATGAGGGCTTATGGTCCGGGTCGGGGTCAGTGCTAGGCTCGGGCCAGGACTTCATCCATCCCCGGCTTTTCCGAAGTGAGCCAGGCCTGCTCCTTAGCGCTCAGTGGTGTGGTTTAGGGTTCGGAGAGATAAGGGGCTCAGCTGCTGCGGGGTGTGCTGTGATCACACATGGGTCCTGCACACCAGGGAGCCGCCCCGTCCTTGTCAGCAGCCCCTTTCCAGCTGTGCTCCAGTCCTGGGCTCCGCACGTGCACCCTTATCTGCCCACTGCTGGCAGCCAGGTGTTTGTGCACAGCTGGGACTGGGCTCTTATCAGGCCAGGCAGGACCGGGTTCGCTGGGTGACCTCAGTCTGTGGCTGGGTGCACCCCGAGGCCCTGGTGGGTGCCGCTCCCCTCTACCCGACCTCAGAGCCTGGCAGAGCTCTGCTGTTTCTGCACCGAGGAGTGACAGGCGCAGACAGGCAGGAGCAGCCTAGGTCGCCCCGGCCCTGGCAGAGAGATAGCCCAGACCCTGGATTCCAACCACCCCACCTATGTGAAGGGATCCAAGGCCACAGTCAGCCCCACGGGGGTGTGGGCACCTGGGACACCCCTGAGGCCACTTGGGTTAGGGTCAGGTCTTCTGACCCCAGACCTGAGCCTTGAGTCGAGAGTGACAGAGGGCAGAAGACAGAGCTCAGCTAAGAAGTGGTCCTGCGCACCTGCGGGTTGGGGCGCGCCTCAGCCTGGGCTGGCACTGAGGGGCCCTTCCGGGGTCTGTCTGGGCGCACACGAGCCACACATCGGAGCAGACACCCGGAAGTGCCCTGGAGAGCGGGGGTCTGGGCCACCGAGGGCTGGGAAGGGCTGAGTGACACCTCCAAGGGTGGACAGCGGTGGTGCAAAGGCCCCGGGCCCAGAGAGAGCTGGGCGAGCTCCAGAGCCCCATGGAGGCCAGCGGGCGAGGCAGAGGGCACGGAGAGGACGGGCTCCCGCACTTCAGGGCACTGCAGCCACACGCCAGTGTTGGGGAGCAGGGGTCCACGAGGTGGGGAGAGCAGGAAAGGCGCGGTGCTGCGGGAGGCGGGAGAAGAGCCCTCGCCAGCCTCACCAGGCACACCCGGCCCGGCCCCTTGAGCTCTGCCACCCTGTGGGGCCGTGCCACCGAGGCCTGGGCGACCCCAGCGGCCTGGCTCAGCTCGTGCCCACCTCCACAGGGACCCGTGGTGCGGGTTATGCTGGGGCCCGGCTCTCCAAGGACAAATGGACACGCAGGACGGTGCCATGGGGGACCTGCAGGTGGGTGTCAGGCCCCGCTGCCTTCCTGGGGCTCAGGGTGTGTGCGGCTGGGCCTGAGACCGAGGCTCCCCACAGGAGGACTACGGGGAGGGGCCAGTGGCCCCCATGCAGAGGGACGGGGAGGAGGTGTTGGACATGCCCGAGCGTGAGGAGGAGCTGGAGGAGGCCCTGGCCCTGGAGGACTACGAGGACCTGGACATCCCCGAGCCCCAGATGGAAGAGCCCCAAGGTGAGCTCGCCCCACCCCAGCGCCCCACAATCACCGCTGACTGCAGGGTAAACAGTGCTTTGTTTGGAATGAGGACAGGAGGTGACGGGGGGGGCAGTCACCCCCACAAGGCCCCTTCCTGGGAGTCAAGGGTGTGACCCACAGCCACCCAGACCCTCCAGTGCCCACTCCCGGGGCACACGGCCCATCTGGGGACATCTCTCTGTCTCGGGGACCGAGTCCTGAGAAAGGGAATCCGGGGAACCCGAGCAGAGACACCCAAGGTCCACAGCACCCTCCCCGCCTGCCAAGGTCTTGGTGGGGGGCCCGGGCAGCGGGTGGGGACTGTTTACTGTCAACAGCACTTGAGTGCTGGCACTCGGGGTTGAAGTGGGGCTATAAGAGGCGCACCCGCCCCTGCCCTCCGTGCCGCTGTGCCAAGGACCTGGCTGGCGCTGGTCGCAAGGTGGGAAGAGGAGGGTGTTGGCCCTGGAGGTGGCCAGGGAGGAGACCCTGGCGTGGGCCTGAGTGCCGCAGCCGGGGCATCCTTCCCATCACCACTGGGGCTCTGGGGCCCTCGCCAAGGCTCTGTTGGGGTGGCACTGCCAGAGGTCCCAGGACAGGTTGGGGCGAGCAGACCTGCGTCTCTGAGGCTCACAGTGGGGTCCGCAGGGCCCGGGGCGGGGACGATGTGGGGCAGCACTGACCAGCCGCCGGGCCTTCAGCTCTCCCTGAAACAGAGCCCACGGCCGCAGACTACGTCCCTGCCAAGCCGGAGCCAGGCACGCAGGAGGTGAGCCCCAGCCAGTCCTCCCAGGCCTACATCACCCCGGGGGGACAAACGGGCCAGGAGGAGCAGCGTGCTGGAAATGGTGGGAGGGGAGGGGCCCCCACTCTAGGGACCAGGGCTGCTTCTGGGAGCCCCCAGGCTGTGCTGTGCTCTGCCAGACCCTCCGGGCCCTGCGAGCGCCAGACTGCCCGGGCGCTCGGGAACCTTGGGCACCGACCACAATGGCCACCTGGATGCCCTGCACCCACTCAGCCACGCGGGCAGGGGCTCCCCGTGCACTGGCCTCACACCCCTTCCCGCCTGGCGCTTCTTTAGGCCCCTTTGGCACAGGGCAAGGGCTGGGAGGAGTGGGCACAGCGGCCCGGGCCCCACTGCTGCCCAGCCCGGGGCTCACTCCGTCGTGGCCGCAGGTCTACGTGCAGCTGCAGGAGCTGGTGATGGACGGGAAGAGCGCGGAGCTGCGGTGGGCAGAGGCGGCCCACTGGCTGCGGGTGGAGGAGAACGTGGGGCCGCGGGGCGGCTGGGGCCGCCCGCACCTGCCCTACCTCACCTTCTGGAGCCTCCTGCAGCTGCAGACAGCCTTCGCCAAGGGTGAGCCTGCGGGCGCCAGGAACCCGTCCGGGACCGTGGCGGACCCCGCTCACCTCACCCGCCCTCTGCCACAGCGGCTGTCCTCCTGGACCTGCGGGAGCGCTCCCTGGCTGGCGTGGTCAGTGAGCTGCTCGACGCGCTGATCTTCGGGGAGCGGATCCGGCCTGAAGACCGAGAGCCACTGCACCGGGCTCTGCTGCTCAAGCGCAGGTGCCTGCCCGGCCCGAGCCCCTGCCCTGCCGGCTCCAGGCAGCACGAGCACGTGCGCCCCGCTTCCCCGCCGCGGCTCCCACCCCCGACTCCCATCCCCGACTCCTCCCAAGGGCTGCCTGGGCGCCACACTCAGTGCCGGAGGCCACTGGTCCCCAGGGCGTGGGCCCCTGCCCCGGCCAGGCAGGGCCACCAAGCACACCCACCGCATCCCCAGCTGAAGGCCCGCTCTCCCGGCTGCCGGCTCTCTCTGGCCTGGTGGCTGGAAGTCCCCCTCGACATCTGCCCTTGGTGCCCCATGAATCTGCACCAAACGCCCTCCTGAGCCCCGTGTGTCCTACAGCCACGCCCAGGACCTGGAGGCCCTGGAGGGGGTGACACCGGCCGTCCTGACGCGCTCCGGGGACCCCCACCAGCCTCTGCTATCCCCGCAGCCCTCACTGGAGACGAAGCTCTTCTGTGAGCAGGTGTGGCCACGTCGGGGAGCAGGGGGAGCCTGGCCAGGCCTCGGGGCGGGAGAATGGTAGGAAAAGGGCTGGGCTCAGGCCTCGCCTTCCCACAGGCTGAGGGGGACTCCGGGGTGCACCCACCTTCTGCAGTTCTGGAGAAGATCCCAGAGGCCGCGGAGTCTGCCCTGGTGCACGTGGGTAAGAGCCAGGCCCGGCCCCTGCCCGCCACACCCCCTCTCCCTGGCCCAGCTGAGCCCTCAACCCCGGTCCCACAGGCCTCGCCGACTTCCTGGAGCAGCCCGTGCTGGCTTTTGTGCGGCTGCACGAGGCCACAAAGCTGGAGGACATGGAGCTGCTCCGGCCCGTGCGCTTCCTCGTGGTGCTGCTGGGGCCCGAGGCGTCCCACACCGACTACACCCAGCTCGGCCGCGCCATGGCCACCCTCATGTCTGAGAGGGTGAGGAGCCGCAGCCCCTCTGGGCCCCTCCTGTGAGCCCCCAGGCCCACCAGAGCCTGTCCTAGCTGGGTGGCCTGGCTCCCCCTACCCTCTGCTCCTGCCCACCCCCTCCGAAGGCCTGAGTGAAGTCCAGTGGGAGCATCCACTCAGGGAGCCCCGCTGTGCACCCCTGACCCTGACGCTGCCATACCCAGGTCTTCCGAACGGACGCCTACCTGGCGCAGAGCCGCGGCGAGCTGGTGCGCTCCCTGGACAGCTTCCTGGACTGCAGCCTGGTGCTGCCGCCCACAGACGCTCCCTCGGAGCAGGCGCTGCTCGGCCTGGTGCCCGTCCAGCAGGAGCTGCTCCGCAGGCGCTACCTGCCCAGCCCAGCACCGCCGGACCCCAGCTTCTACAAGGGCCTGGGTATGGCCCGCCTGCCCCGGCCCAGGCGCCCACTCCGCAGCCCTCCCGCTGGCCCCTGACCCTGGCACTGTTTTCCACAGACCTGAACGGCGGCCCCGGGGTCCCCGGCGGCCCTGATGACCCTCTGCGGCGGACGGGCTGGCTCTTCGGGGGCCTGGTGCGTGACGTGCGGCGCCGCTACCCCCACTACCTGAGCGACATCACGGACGCCCTGAGCCCCCAGGTCCTGGCCGCCGTCATCTTCATCTACTTTGCTGCTCTGTCGCCCACCATCACGTTCGGGGGCCTCCTGGGTCAGTACCCTCACCCGCCGTCCCCAGCTCCCTGTGGCCCTCAGCCCTGACCCGAGCGCCCTCAGCCAGCCCACCCCTTGTTCTGTTGACCCCTGGAAATCACGCCTCAGCCTTGACCCCCGCCCCTGCTGACAGGAGAGAAGACCGGGAACCAGATGGGGGTGTCGGAGCTGCTCATCTCCACCGCGGTGCAAGGGATCCTCTTCGCCCTGCTGGCGGCACAGCCCCTGCTGGTGGTCGGCTTCTCAGGGCCCCTGCTGGTGTTCGAGGACGCCTTCTTCACGGTAGGCGGCCCTCCCCCGCCCTGTGGGCCACCCGTGCCTGAGCCCCGAGGGCCTGACCCCAGCCACCGCCCCCACAGTTCTGCGAGAGCAACGGCCTGGAGTACATCGTGGGCCGCGCCTGGATCGGCTTCTGGCTCATCCTGCTAGTGGTCCTCGTGGTGGCCTTCGAGGGCAGCTTCCTGGTGCGCTTCATCTCCCGCTACACCCAGGAGATCTTCTCCTTCCTCATCTCCCTCATCTTCATCTACGAGACCTTCTCCAAGCTGATCAAGGTGGGCATGGCCCGCGTGTCTGTCCCTGCGTCCACACGCAGGCTGTGAGGACCCGCTGCCTGCAGCCGAGCAGATGGCTGCACGGGAGAGGTCTCCCTGTGCCCGCAGCGGGGTGTGGCTCTGTGGGCTCTGAGCCGTGCCCTCAGCCTTTAGCCCCCGGGCACTCAGCCTGCAGTCTGCCCACCTCCGGCCAGGGCTGCACCCGCCTGCCCTGCACTTTCAGAGGAGGAAGGGTGAGCGCCTTGCTGTCTCCTGGTCTTTCCAAAGGTACAGGTATCTATTCAGTTATTTTGCAGGGCTGGGTCTGGAGCCAGGGCCCCGGGCACGCTAAGCAAGCGCTCTGTCCCTGACCCGCACCCCAGCCCCGTAAGCCCTGCTGAGAACCCTCAGGCCTTCTTATGCCCCTCATGGGCCCCTCCGCCCCGCATGCCCAGGCTTGTACAGTGTCCACTAGGCCTCTGAGGCCCAGGCAGGCCCTCATGCCTAACACGGTCTTTACCCCGAAAGCCAAGCTCCAGGAGCCCCTCTGTCCCACGGCAGCTGAGGCAGAAGGTGTATGGAGGGAGAGCACCCTGTGTGCCCGGGCGGAAGACAGATGGTGTGGGGGCAAGCGAAACGGGGACGGTGGACGAATGCTGGGCAGAGGCACGGGCAGGTGGACGGACGGACGGACGGACGGACGGACGGATCACGGTGCCGGGTAGATCCAGCAACGGTGTCCCAGCCCTACCCAAGGCTGGGAGGTAACCTGCCTCGGTTTTCTGCTGCAGATATTCCAGGACCACCCGCTGAAGGAGACGTACGACCCCAACGTGCCAGTCGTGCCCAAACCCCAGGGGCCCCTGCCCAACACAGCCCTCTTCTCGCTGGTGCTCATGGCTGGCACCTTCACCCTCGCCATGATGCTGCGCAAGTTCAAGAACAGCTCCTACTTTCCCGGCAAGGTCAGCCCCGATTCCTGCTGTACCCCGTGTCCATCCACCTGCACCCCAGGTCCCCAGCCCTTCGCCCCTTCTCACCCCAGGACCCAGACCTGTCGAGCCGCCTCCCCTCAGCACAGCCGGGCTGGGGCTCCTGAGGTCAGCAGAGTGCAGGGTACATAGGGACAGCAGGGCACAGGGCACTGGGCACCGACCTCCTGTCTTTACCTGCCCCAGCTGCGCCGGGTCATCGGGGACTTCGGGGTGCCCATCTCCATCCTGATCATGGTCCTGGTGGATTTCTTCATCGAAGAGACCTACACCCAGGTGACCCTCCCCTCCCCCGCACCCCCCACAGGCCCCCGCACCCCTCTGGCCAGCCCAGCTCCAGCTGCCCCTCCTCCCTCTCGCCACTGCCCCCACAGAAACTCTCGGTGCCCGACGGCCTCAAGGTGTCCAACGCCTCGGCCCGGGGCTGGGTCATCCACCCCCTGGGCCTGTACAGGGAATTCCCCATCTGGATGATGTTTGCCTCTGCCCTGCCTGCGATGCTGGTCTTCATCCTCATCTTCCTGGAGTCTCAGATCACCACGTGAGCCCTGGGGCAGCGGGGCTGGGACGCCGGGCAGCACCAGGACTGGTGGGGGCAGTGTCCAGGGCTAAGGTTATCTCATGGGGGAGCTTTTCGTTTTTACTTTTTTCTTTTCTTTTTGTTTTTGTCACTATGTAGTCCAGGCCAGCCTCGAATTCATGGCAATCCTCCTGCCTCAGCCTCCCAAGGGCTAGGATGACAGTTGTATCCCACCATACCTGGCTCGGAGGGCCTTTTGTAAAACAAAAGAGGCGGGTTGGGGGTCTAGCTCAGTGACACAAGCGCCTGCCTGGCAAGTGCAAGGTCTTGAGCTCGATTCTCGGTACTTCCCCCAAAAAAGATGCAAAATGACACCCTAAAATGAGGCTACTTGGCAAAGTGCTGGGCTGGGCTGCTGGCCGCAGGTGTCCTGAAGAGCCTCAAACTCTCGGGGACAGGGCTGGGGCCCCAGGGTGACACAGGGGGGCGGGCACAGGCCGGGGGGCTCACCAGTTTCCCACCCACAGGCTGATTGTCAGCAAACCCGAGCGCAAGCTGACCAAGGGCTCTGGCTTCCACCTGGACCTGCTGCTGGTGGTGGGCATGGGCGGCGTGGCCGCGCTCTTTGGAATGCCCTGGCTCAGTGCCACCACCGTGCGTTCCGTCACCCACGCCAACGCCCTCACCGTCATGGGCAAGGCCAGCACCCCGGGAGCTGCTGCGCAGATCCAAGAGGTCAAGGAACAGCGGATCAGCGGGCTCCTAGTGTCGGTGCTGGTGGGTGAGTGCTGGCCGTGTGCCCACCGAGGGACAGGGCACAGGGTGGCACTGAGTCTCCCCCACCAAGTCGAGGGAGAAGCTAGGGGTCTGGGGAGGCAGAGGCTGAAGCCCCGAGTTCTAGAGCTGAAGTGGGGGGTATTTTTTGGTGCTGGGGATCGAACTCTGGACTCCGCATGCCCACAAGTGTTCTACCGCTCAGTTGCACCCCAGCCCTTCTTGTTTTGAGGTGGGGTCTCACTACATTGTCCAGCCAACTTCAAACCTGTGCTACCCCCTGCCTCAGCCTCCTGAGTTACTAGGATCACAGGTGTGCGCCACCATGGTGGGCAGGGCAGTTTCTTATGGGAGCTGGAGCCGGTCTGACCCGGAGGGGGCTGGGGAAGCAGCCTGGGTAGGGAGGAGGAAGGTCCCTGCCTGAGCCCTGGGCGGCCGTGCAGCACCCGGTGGGGGCTGCGTTTAAGGGTGGCAGGCAGCGGGTGGACTCCTTCACAGGCCTGTGGCCTTAGGCAGGTCGCTAGCCTCTCTGAACCCACTTCCTCCTCCACTGATCGGGATAACACCTGTTAAAAGGCTCCTCAAATCCGGCCTTGGTGGCACGCACCATGATCCCAGCACTCTGGGAGGCTGACGCAGGAGGACTGCAAGTTTGTGTGTGTGTGTGGCTGCTGGCTTTGCTTTTTGAGACCGGATCTCGCTACGTAGCTCAGGCCGGCCTCGAACTCGCTAAGGCCCACTAGGACCTGCGATTCCCCCCCAGCCCACGCCAGTGGGTGTCGCGTTGTCTGCGCGGGCGCCTGGGCTGACACGCACGTCCCCCAGGCCTGTCCATCCTCATGGAGCCGGTACTGTCCCGCATCCCGCTGGCCGTGCTGTTCGGCATCTTCCTCTACATGGGCGTCACGTCGCTCAGCGGCATCCAGCTCTTCGACCGCCTGCTGCTCTTGCTGAAGCCGGCCAAGTACCACCCCGACGTGCCCTTCGTAAAGCGGGTAGGCGTGGGCCCCGCGGGGTGGGGCCGGGGCGTGGTGGGCGGGGCCAGGCCGGCGGGGGTAGGGTCAGGGTCAGGGATGGGTGCGGGCAGGGGTACGGGT